TTTGGATAGATGGTTGTTGAGAAATCATCGTTTAAACTTTCAAAAAGAAAAATTTTGCTTATTTTAGATGATATTTCAAGTTTCTTTCGAAACTTCTAGCGAGGTTTCTCGATATCAACTAAACCAAATTCAATAAACTTTTTTTATTTTAATTTTACAACCATGTAGAATCATAATAAAAGAACATTTTACAAAATTTGATCGAACAGTTATTGAGAAATCTTCTCAAGAAATTCATAAGGATTTTGATCGGAAAAGATCTGTAGCCCATGTATGGCTAACCCTAACGCTGATGCATTCCGACCAAGAATTTCGGGGTTAACCCTGTAAAAAATTGAGGTTTAAGGTTGTCGATCTATCAAAATTTAGGTTTAGTGTTCATTATTAGTTTACCGTTGTATTTATGGCTTTAAATTATGATGGCTTGAGACCAAGATTTGGAATCCCAACCCAATATCGGTGGTTCGATACCAAGATCGATGGTTCGAACCCACTATTCGTGGTTCATAGCCAAGATCCGTGGTTCGAAACCACTTCATTGTTCGGGGAAAACTATGCTAATTACATGCGAAGCAGGTTAAAAAAAGGAAAAGAAAAAAAATTAGGCACTGATTTTTCATAACAATGGTCGCCCTGGATGATTCACATTAATCAATTTCAACAATTTCACCAATTTTTTTTCTATGAAGAAAGGCAATTTCATCACCATCTATACTTGAAAAAATCCCGAGCCTTATTCGAATTTATTTACTAATAACTAAAAAAAATTGCACATATAAAATTATACGAATTTTAAACGTCATTTTATTAAAATCTAAAGAAGTAGGGGCGCCAGCGGTACCAAACTTTCGCTTGTAGTTATAGAATAGGACTTTATACTTGATTGTTTAATTCTTCTATTATATATTTAGCTTTTATCCAGCCTGGTGTCCATTACATCAATAGATTACCGTGCTTAATGCGTAATTGATAAAATGGTTCAATTACGTATCAAGTACGTATGTATGTAATGTAATGAACTGTACAGTACATACGTACATAGATAACAAATAAGATAATTGTGTATGATCTCCAATGGCGTGATCAAAACTTCACGGCGCTAAAATCTATCGACGTTTTAATTATATTTTTGATAAATTGTGTAGAAGTTACTGACGAGTACCACAGTCATGCCGTAAAAATTTATCAGTACCATGATCTTCGAGCTAATCAGTATTGGAACGTTAATCTGATTACATTTCATGAAATGTTTTCTTTACAGTCGTTACATGCTATGAATAATTTTAATAAATCTGATTCTGTGATGATTAGGTCAGATCGGCAATTTTTGCAGCACAATTCATCATTATATAATAGTATTATTTTCCCGGAGAAGGGATTCTTATATCAGAAAATATTGTGATGTAATTTTTTCGTATGCGAACATTCAGATATAACAAAAATAATCTCTAATCAGAAGTTTTTTAGATTACTTCAGCATATCAAACTTTCATCAGAATTAATAATAAAATTGTTGACTGATAAGATTGATAAGATATAGTCAATGTTTTCATAAAATATATAAAATCCATCGTTTCAACGATTGGAATAGTAAGTCAAGTAAAAAAATATTTGTAACCTATATAATAATAACATAATACAACTTAACTAAACAAAAAATGTATCTTTGTCTCAGTTTCGTAATTTTAATACTTGCAAGTATTTGTCAAGTTCTTGCTGAATGCGCCGGTTGGAGAATTACTTCTCCAACAACAACAGGTTTAGTATGGACCGCAGGTCAATATTATGCTGTATCTTGGGATCCTGGCTACTCTCAAGTAAATACTGTCGACCAAGTTGATCTTTATACAAATGATAATAAATTTGTTGTCACTGAGTGGAAGGGACCTATTTCTGTCAACGCTTTGACAACAGGAAACTTTCGTCTTCAAGCTCCTTCTCCCGGAACTTATCATTCCAAGAAATAATTGCCGCTACAAGCAAACGTTCGAAGGGTAGTACATGAATCCCCAGGAGATACGGAGGTATGAAGACTTTGAGGAGATATATAACTTAA